TACTTCTCTCTCTCTCTCTCTCTCTCTCTCTCTCACTCTCTCGCTCTCTCTCTCTCTCTTCTTTGACATGGTATCAATGCCTTGATCCTTCTTACTCTACATCATTCTTCTATGTTGCTCTTCATCCTTTTTTATGTTGCTCTTCATCCTTTCTTTATCTCCTATAGCCTAAATATTTGTTTTTCTACTGCCTGTGCTGTTTATACTGAAAACCTAGGATCGATTCCTGGGGTTTGCGGTATTGGAAAACAAAAAAAAGATGGGGTTACTTCTTCAGGCTGTTCGATCTAAACCATAGGGCTGTTTCCTAAGGGTCCTGTATGCAAAAACTCATATAGATCTGCATTTAGTGTGGTGAGGCAACCATTTATGCAATTCATCTTTAAAGATCGAGATGAATAGAGGAATCGTGGTAGGATTTTGACGTTTATGGGCATCCGTGGATGATTCCCTAGACTATTCTCTTAAGGGAAAAAAAAATCCTAAATTTTTTATGTGTATAGATTCTGCCCGGTCAACTCATTAAGTGGCAGCTAGATGTCAAGAATGCCTGCCTCCATGGTGATTCACAAGCAGAGGTGTATATACAGTGACCACCTGTGTTTGTTGCTCAGGTGGAGTGAGATGAGGTATGTGAGTTGAAGAAGTCTGTTTACATTCTGAAGCAGTCCCCATATGCATGGTTTGAGAAATTTAGTGAAATTGTTGTGGCATACGGATTTCAACGCAGCCATGCAGATCATTTAGTTATTTGGAAGGCTCTAGGATGGTAATGACATTGTCATCTTTGGCAATGAGAAAGATCGAAAACAATATGTTCAGACAATGGATTTGGGTCAGCTGCTGTATTTTCCAGGATTTGAAGTTTACAGATCAATGAATGGCATTAGCTTGTCTCAAAGAAGTATATGACTCATTTGTTAATAGAAACTGGAATGTTAGATGCTAAACTACTTGGTGCTCCTATGGATTTAAACAAAAAGTTATTGGCTGATAAAGGGAGTTGTTTGAGGATTCAAGGAGGTACAAAGGACTAGTAGCCATGCTGATTAATCTAAAGATCGCTAAGTATGATATTGCTTTTGTAGAAAGTGTAATGAGTTGGTTTATGCAGTCTCCCAAGGTTCCTCATTGGGTTGTTCGATGAATTTTTGAGGTATTTAAAGGGAGCTCCAGATTGTGGACTGGTGATTTACACGCCTAATAGTCATCTAACCATTGAGAGTAACTCAGATGCTAATTGAGTAGGATCTTCATTTGATAGGCAGTCTACCACAGGCTATTGTACATTTATTAGAGGAAATCTAGTGAAATGAAGTAAGAAACAATATATTGTGGCTAGATCAGTGCATAGACTGAATATGGAGCAATAGCACATGCTATATGTGAATTGACGTGGTTGAAGTTGTAGGTGATGGGATTTACAATTGCAGAGCCTCAGAAGATGTATTGTGATGATAAAGTTGGAACCTATATAGCCAGCAATTCAATTTAACACGAGAGAAGTAAGCTTATGGTAGTAGACTGTCACTTTATTCAAGAGAAGGTTACTATTAAGCAGGGTCTACTTCATATGTAAAGTCTAAGAATCAGTTGGCAGATTCATGAAGCTCTTGGTTATAATCTACTTCGAACAATTTGTTCCAAGCTGGGCATAGGTGACATTTATGCTCTAGCTTGAGGGGGAGGGGTAAAAGTCTATCTATCTTTGTTTCTTTTTCATTTTAAGTTATTAGGATCTCTATGTCCTATTTTATTTGTATGGGCAGTTTTGTCTTTTTCATCCACTTCATTAATGTAAATAGAGTTGAGAAGTGCTTGAGACAGATTTTTAATCTCTCAAGTCACTCTCTTTCCTTCCCTCTGCCCTCTCTCTCTCTCTCTCTCTCTCTTCTTGGACATTCCTTATTATCTTTCTTTTCTATTTTTACCCGTATTCCTAGTTTTTGGGCAAAGAATGTCATCTTTTCTTCACAATAACCATTATGGCTGTATAACAAAAACAGACCAGCCTGTTCAGTTAAATTATGAAACCTTAAAGAAAAGCTCACTCTCAAAAATCTCAGAATATCTTAACATGACAAATTTTTTGATAAATCTACAGAATTATTTCAAATTAATTTTAAATTTATAGTCAACATTTAAATAATCTCATCCAAATTAAATTATCAATAAATTATAAAACCCATTCTTTATTTACTCATGCATCCCACAGGTAGTATTTTGATATGTATGTGTGTGCATGCATGAGATGTTCGTATATGTCAAAAACTTCCATAGGCCAAGTGACATACATTGCAATATAGGGCCTTATTGGGGTTTTTGACCTCAAAACTTTGTAGATGCGTGTGAGTGTGAGAAAACTACAGGGTAAAAAAGCAAACCAACGAATGCAAGCAAGAAAACGGATGCGCCAACGTACCGTGCTAGGCTAGCCCTTGCTTCTTGCCGATAATAAGTAGCAGTCACAAGTTTGTATCCATTTTTCATGATATTATGCATATATCGGCATGGTCAATTCTTCAGAAAAAATTGTAGGTAGTTCTTCCACAATGGAATCTGATAAGTGAGATTTCGAGTAAATGTTTACGGAATCTTCTTCTGTTCGAAGAAATGATTCATCAAAATAATGGGTCACCCATTCCATTGTTATGGATACATCTGAGATCACCAAATGCTCGAGAGTTCTTCTATTCAAGCGTTTTCCTTCTTCTTGTTGCTGGTTATCTCATTCGTACACATCTTCTCTTTGTTTCCCGAGTGTCTAGTGAGTTACATACAGAGTTAGAAAAGATCAAAACTTTGATGATTCCGTCATACATGATGGAGTTGTGAAAACTTCTGGATAGTTATCCTCTACCTGAAAGGAAGGTCGTTTTCAAGGAGAACCAAATGCTTGGCCAGTTTCCAATCTCCATACTGTTAAAAGACAAGAATTTTGTTTTTTTATTTTTTTCATTGGATGATCTATATGATGGGATCGTTGTTTAGATTTGTGCCAAAGTTTCAGATAGAAAGGAAATAGAATCTTTATCTGAATACCACCTCTATCTCTCTATTCATTCTATGTACCAGAAAAGGGAAGTAGAACTTAATATCTTTTTCATTGTTCTTTTAAACACAGTCCATTAGCTGAATCCAGGATGATGCGCAAAATATTAGGAAAAAGCTGTAGCTTTTACCTTGACTTAGGAAATCTTTCCCTAAGCCAAGTGTGGATACATGCACATCTACATTTATGAACATCTAGGATTTTTGTATTTTCTAAAGAATTCAACCATTTTAAAACAGCCATATTCCGGTACACATTAATTCATACTTATATCATCTATATCTCAAGTGTACATACATTTCGTGCCTGTATATTTGAATGTTGATTTGGTCCCTTGATATTATGATAACAACCATTATTTATTGATTTGGTCGGTCAGGGGGTCATCACAAAGGCTTCTGCAAATGATTTCAAGATAAGGGATTTTATTCACTAGTAGCCCACCCATTACAAGATAAAGGAGTTGATGATACTCTTCAAGATTTTCAGCTGGATCTCACTGTTTGGATGACGTGAGAGTTCATTGAAGATGCTCTGGCTTTGGTGTCCCCATGAACCAGGTTGTAGTCTCCCCCCGGCTCGATCATGTAAACTCTCTCTCTCTCTCTCTCTCTCTCTCTCAGGTTAAATGGATAATTGCTACAACAGCCTCTGTAGCTTCAAAGGGTTATTTGGACTAAGGAACCCATGGGCGCCATTGTGAAAGAAGCTAATATACCTTCAGACCGAAAAGCAAATACTAATGTGAAAACCAAAACAACACTTGTTTATTAATGCTGCTTCCTAGTAACATTATCTGAAAATGATGTCTAAATTGATGCACTCTCACACGCAAATTTAAATGATAGTGGTAGTAGTACTATTGCAATTATGGACTTTTTCATTTTTCATCTTGAGGTAAAATATGGCTCGAGAAAGAGGTTTTGGTCCCACATTGCTTGGAGGCAAGCTTCTTCATGGCTTTATAAATGGGGAACTTCCTTGGATTTATGAGGATTAGAATCTAAGGGTAAACGCACTTGGGGGGGCTTAGTTGCGCTGTGGCTGATTTTTGGGCTAAAATCTATTTTTCTGTTGGCTGAACCGCTTGATGAACTTTTGAGATTATCACCGTCGTGAGGTCTTTATAGATTTTCAGCCATGTTTAGGGACAAAGTCGCTTTTCTTCCCACTCAGATGCTTTATCATGTGAGATACACGACGCTCTTTCTTTGTTGACAATATGTTGAAACTGTCCATAAATTGACTGTGGTTATCCAATACCCTTCATATGTAACCCCATTTGATATCAAAATTTAGTTCTTTGCCCGCAGTTAAGTGCGGACTGATGACTTATTATCATGCGACCAAAAAATCTCTGTAACTTGTGAATTTCTCGACCCAAACTCATCATGCTCGTACCAATCAAAGCGCGGACTGATGACTTACTATCATGGGTGACCAAAAAATCTCTGTGACTTATGAATTTCTCGACCCAAACTCATCAAGCTCGTACCAATCAAAGCTCAACCCAAGCTAAGTAGTTCTTAGGCTAATTATTAAAAGAATCAATGTTCTTTGATTAGGTAAATTATTAACAGAATCAATGTTCTTTGATGACATCTCTTGGTCGTTGCAACTCATACAAGTCAAGCACTCTGTTGACTGGGTATGGTTGTATCCTAGGCAGTGTTCACAAAAATGAATTGAAACTGTTAATCGGACATGGGGTTGGGAGCGGTTTTAACCGGAATCGGACTAACCGGGGCGGTTAACCAGACTAACAAATTGATTATTTTTTTAAAAAAAGAGATAAAAACTCCCAAAACAATAAAATAAAAAATAGAAATACTTTGATTAAGTGTATAATATTTTATTACATATATTTATCTTACAAAAAAAAAAATTGAAACTGTTTTTTATAAATTAATATTTGAATATTATGGTCCTGTACATGAAAATATATTAGGATTTTTTTTTAAGATATTTTTGCTATGTAACATCTTCTTCCAAGAATTAACGTATTCCTTCCAAACCTGATATTGTAAGACTTTCTGGTTTCTTTTGAACAAAAATTGCTCACATTAGGAATGAAAGTTTACGTAATTTTTTGCAAATAACAAAAGTAGCTTGATGCTATTAAATCAAATAAAAACACAAACTAATTAAGACAAGAAATAGAAAGGACCTCTTCCATATAGTTAGATAAACTATAATTCATACAATACTTTTTCGATGAAGTTAAATAAGACATGTTTCACAAAAAGTACATCTCATGACATGCAACAAAACGAAAAATCAATGCACAACTGTTCTTATATGTATCTACCATATCCATATCATTGTGTTGTGCATTAATTTTATCAAAAAATAAGAAAATTAGAACAAATAATTTGATTAAAAAATAATTTTATTAAGCAAAATAGAAAAACACTTCCCTTATTTATCATAAAAATAATTTTATTAAAAAACCATAATTTTATCAAAAAATAATTTTACCAAGCAAAATGAAAACCACTTCCCATATTCATAAAACATAATTTTATTAAAAACCATAATTTTATCAAAAATAATAATTTTGTTAGGCAAAATAGAAAAACAGTTCACATATTCATCAAACAATATAACTTTTTATTAAAAAACTGAATTTTTTTAAAAACAATCAATTTTTCAAAATGTGATGGATGATGTGAAATTCAGATCACAATTGTAAAACTCTCTCTCTCTCTGGAATCGGGCTAGATCGAGGTCGGTACCGATCCCAAGTCGGCCGATTTTTAAAAAATCAGCTGAACTTTTAAAGGCCATTCTATAACATTTCCAAAAACCTTGATAGAAAATGAAAAAACAGAACAACGAAAAAGAAAAGAACCTAGCACATACAAGATGACGGTGTAGTGTTTCATTGAACATAAGGATTTCAAAATTTTTACATGCACTAAAAAAAACAAAATGTCTCATTTCCATCATTACAAATATAACTATAACATGCACTCAAAACAACAGAGCTAAAAAAAAATTGAGCGACACTATCATACACTTATCAAAAAGAAGAATCAATTTCATCAAAAAATAATTTTATCAAAAAGAATAATTTTATTAAGCAAAACAGAAAAACACTTCTCATATTCATCAAAAAACGCAATTTTATTAAAAAAATCATAATTTAATTAAAAATAATTTTATCAAGAAAAATAAAAAAAAACTTTCCATATTCATCAAAAAAACATAATTTATCAAACAAAGTATTGTTTTTTTAGAAAAATCGATTTTCAAAAAACCCAAAAAATCAAGCAAGATTTCGAGCAAGAAACGATTCTCAATGTTTGAAAAATCGAACAAATAAACATACATGCAATGTAAAGGCTTCGATCATATTTCAAACGCACCAAATTTCATTAAAAAAATATTCGACATTTTTAATTTAATTGAAAAAAAGGCGGAAATTTCAGATCTAAGGAATTTTATGATATGGTGCAACGAAAAAATCCATATAAAACATTTAATCAATCATAAATAGACATACCGATTTTATTTGAGAGATAAATCATTGATCATAAAATAGACAACTTAATTTTATAAGACACGACCAATAAATAGATAAAAAATCTGTGTTTTTTTTATCGAATGCAGTTTTTTGAGCAGCAACAGCATTTCGGACCAAAATCAACCCCTAATATTCGGTTTTCTGAAAAAATTGAAACATAAATCTGATGAATAATTGAATTATCTATCAAAACCACCAAATTTCTTCAAGAACCATTTGGTATCAAAGAAATTATTGAAAGAATGGCGGAAATTTTCAAAAACCTAAAAAATCCACCATTTCGATCAAAGAAACTCTTATTTTTTAGATGTTTCAATCCAAATTTATTTTTTTATAGATTATAGATAGTGATTTACAACAATAAATCACAAATAAGGACAATAAAAAGGGATGAAAACGGATAAAAAAAGTGAAAATTTGGATTAAAAAATGCCGGTTACAAATAACGGTCTAGATTTCGAAATAACTGCTGTTATTTATTACTATACCATTATTTACGTTATAACGGACGTTATTTAAGATAACCGGTCAGAGAGCAGAAATCGGCCGGTTTGTGGAAAAGCTGCAAGTTCATTGCCCAACCGGCCGGTGTTGTACTAAAATTTTTTGGATAACGCCGAGTACTTAGTATACCACTAAACCGGTGGTAACCAGAATCGCCACCCTGCCATAGCGATCGAACTGGCCAGTTTTGATTCTAACCGGCCGGTTTTGCAAACTTTGATCCTATGGGTATTCTCAACACCTGATTGCATCTGGGATTATCTAAGCTTGGGTGTTAAATACCTCGAATACAGTGCGTGCATCTCGTGCTTTTAGGTCCAATGTTAAACCTAAGGGGTTGGTTGGTTGTTTTAGTGAAGTTGAGAGTCCTTCCTCATAACTAAAGCAGGGCACTGAGCTCCATTTTGAACTCAGACTTCATTGTTATTTTTAGTTTGGAAACTGGACATTTAGGTTCCTCTTTGAACTCCATACTTTGCTTTTGTTAATGATCCATTTTGACCTTCGTTATGCAGTTTTAACCGGTGGTTTAAAAAATGGATCGGTGATCTGGATCAGGCATCTCAAAAATCGATTTGGATCGAAGGATTGGCGATTCGGATTGGATATCGGGCGGAATCGCTCAGATTAAACCTTAAAAAAATTCAAAAAAATTATTAAAATTTATTATAAATGTTTTTTTTAATGAATCCAATAAGAAATGAAGGTACTACATTATTAACTTTCATTGTTTTCATCGATTTATGAATATTAAGATATTTTTTCCCTGTATGAACTTATGTTGACCATTAAATTTACATCACACAAAAAAAATCATAGAATTATCGTAGATTAAGTATATAATCATATATGGATTACAATAAAGAGTTGACTAAATCGATGAAAAATTGGCCACTAAAATTTCGAATTGGCGGAAAACCCTAATCCGATAAAAAAACCCAAATTATTACAACCTAACTAACTATAATATTATATACCAATAATATTTTATAATTATTTTATTATATAAATGATAACAAATCCAAAATATTTTATAATATCATCTAATTTAAAATCTATTATTGACAATTGTAACATAAATAGTACACTACATGATTTATAATACAAAAGTTAATAAATAAAATAAAAGATTTTGTTATAAATGTAGAAATTATTAGAATGTGTACCATTTTTTTAAATTTTTAGGTTTACTTAGTATAAATTAAGTGAAAGTAGATTGTTAGTAGAAAGTAGAGAGATTTC